ATTGCTGTATTAAAAAAAATAGGGCACATTTTAGTTTTAAAGGAAATAATAAGGAAAATTATTAAGGAATAGACTATACCGTATGTTCTTCACACAGTAAGCTCGAACTGCGATCTAGGAGTGGCATCGTTCCAACAGGATGATGATAAACCAAGGATGTCTTGAAAAATATTAATGCCTCGCCTTGCGAAACTTTTCTTTTGTTGAAAACGTAAGCTGGTACATTTTTCACAAGAAAAGACGGCTGTCCGAATGCTCAGCAAAGCTGGGCAACAAGCAATGCAACACTGGTCAAGCTGCACAAATATAAAAATTCATATTAAGAATTAACAGATGGTCCAGGTATTGCAAGTAACAAGTTTTTATAGAATGTAAAATTCCTAGTGTCTTTCGGTATTTAAAAATAAAGCCCCAGTCATCTATAACAATCTCCTGTCATCAGCTCCCTGTCGTCTGTAGCAAAAAGCGATTGCTTTTGACATAGTGGTACCACTATAGGGCACTTTTTTCTACAAAATAAATTATTCAAGGAGTTTTTAATAAAAAATGGGACTTTTGATTGAGAAAATACGAGGCTTACTGGACTGGATCTAATCCTTCACGCTTGAAGAGGTGCAACAGAAGCTTCTCGGCTTGCATTTCAAAGCATCGCTCAATGCTCTCGCCCAAACATGGCCCATCATTCCTCAGATCTGTCACCGGTATTCCCTGTTCTTTTTCTTGTAGACTTTTAGGGTGAATTCCATTTTCGATGAGCGGTGCTTCGCCCTTCTGTACAAACGGACGTACGTAATCCGCACATTCGGTTTTCTGAAACCGTTTTTTGCCGCTATTTTGGCTGCAATCATTATTTTAGTCAGCAGTAAATTATAATGCTCAAGATATCTTTTAATCGTGTGAACAGTGTAGTGAACTGGAAAATATCTACAAATGGGCAGAAAATCTCGTCCAGGATTTCCCAGACTCGACTGCATATGTGAGATTTGTTACGTTTAAATCAGTAAACCTCCTAATTAAACCAACCAACTTATTCTTATCCTTTACCAAAAAATAAACTAAAACAAAATTCTGCCCTTATTCATTTTTTGTCAGAGAAGGCACTAGGAAGTAGCTTGAGCTGCTCTAACAGCAAATGCTTGCTAGCAAGTCTGTCGATGGCTCCTTTTTTTCAAAAGTTACTTCCTCTTAAATAGCTGCTCAGTCAAAAATACCATTACTATTTAAATGAATTGTCAGGAACTGCGAAATCGTATCTCTGATTTTTAATATAAAAGCAGCACTATCTGCGACCACGTCGTGTTCACCAGCAAACGCTAAAAAGCCTTGCAGTCCGCAGTCAGTGCTGGCTGTTTTGGAAG